TCCTAACCGCGCGTGGTCGAGCTCTCGGTGGGCACTGCCGTTCGAGACGCTGCTAGGGGTTGACCTGCAATCCTCCGTTAAGGTCGGCGGTTCAAACTCAGTAGCGCACCGCTGGGAGGAAGACCGGGCTGACGGCAGTTCGAAGCCGCCAGCCACTGCCTGGCAGAAAGAGGAGGCTTTCTGTTCCCCTAAAGAGTTCTGGTCTGCGAAGGCCACAGGGGCAGTTCTGCCCGCCCTGTAGGATCGCTGGAAGTGGGAATTGGGGCGATGGCAGAGGATTTGCCCCTGTGAAGATGTCCCCGAAAAAGCACTGCCGTCCAGTCGATTCCGATCCAACTCCTAGAGGCCCTACAGGACGAGATAGAAGTGTCCCTCTGGGTTTGCGAGTGTAACTTTTTATGGGAGTGCAGAGCCATGTCTTCCACGTGAAGAACGGCTGCTGATAGTTTCAAACTGCTGACCACGTGGTTAGCAGCCGGACAGATAAACACTGTGCCACCCGTGAAGATTTACCGCCTCAGAAACCTTGGATAGGGTCACTCGGAAACCCACAGGGGCAGTTCTACCCTGCCCTATAGGAACAGAATGTTTCTAAATGTGCCCCGTTGTCCATTTTCCAGTATAGTGCTCTTAATTCCCCGGCCCCCTATCTTTTTAGGCTCGGGAGCACTTATTGAGAGCCTTGATTTTTCAATTTTTCTAACTCTGTTGTTTTCTTTTTCCTTTTTGTGGAGAAACCCCCATATGTACACACCGAATGCTTGCCACACTGCCGCGACACCCGCACGGTTTTTAGTTACATTGACTACATTTTTCACATGGTGACATCTTCTTTTCAACCCCTTTCCCAAAATGTCCCACTCCTCCGAACATCAACAGGAGGCCCAGAGGGACCTTGCTTACGCTCACCTTGGCTGTTCGCTGAGAGGTCAGCAGTTTGAACCCATTGGCCACTGCAGGAGAAAGATGTGGCCAATCCACTTCCATACAGGTTGACAGCCTTGGAAACACAATGGGACAGCTCTGCGCTGCCTTTCAGGGTCATGATGAGTTAGAATGGACTGGATGGCAAGGGGGTGGCGTTTGACGTTAACACACTTCCAGTGACTCCTCCAAAGAAAAGCTCCCTCCTCCCTTCTGTCCCACCCTTCAAAAAAATTCACGGCTGCCGGTCTGTCTGGATAGGACAGGCTGGATGAACAATCTGGAGGAGAAAACAACGGGACTGACAGTTCCGGGGGGACATGGGAGAGGGGG